CGCCCAGCCTGCCTCGCACCTGGGTGCTGCCGGAGGATGTCACTGGTGTGCTCCAGCACCTCGTAGTACTCCTCTTTCTTCAGCAGGCACTGGCAGTAGTTGAGGATCAGGGTGTTGATCATCTTTTCCAGCTTCAGCCACTGCACCTCCCAGGGCTTCTCCTGCCCGGTGAGAAGGCCCACGGTGAGCTCATGGCGCTGCCGGGCCCCACCCCACCCGGTTCCCAGAGTTGGCCCCACTGCCGCTTCCTGGCGGCCGCCTCTCACCTTGGTCTGCAGGTTCCTCAGGCAGATGATGGCTTCCTGGTACTTGGAAGAGGCCTCCTCGTAGCGGCCCAGCTTAAAGAGCCGGTTCCCTTCTCCGTGCAGGATGGGCACCGCCTTCATCTTCTCGTCGTTGTTCAGGTTCCAGGACTCCCTCTGGTACTCACTGGGGGCATCGACCTGGCCCAAGAGCCGCCGATCAGAGAGGCCGAGACCCCAGGTGCCTGTGCACCAGCACATCTCCCCGAAGTCAGCTCTGCACGTTCCACAGTGAGGTCCGGCCACAAGAACCACGCTTGCTTGGGCAGATGCGTAAAAACAAGGGAAAAAAGCAAGGAAGCCAAAGGGCCCTGCCCTAAATTGGTGCCTTTGTGCAAATTAGGAAAAGGTACCCCCTCATCAGGGCACTTGACTTACAATACTCAGAAAATTATCATGAATACTCATTTCATTAGAGCATGACACTTTAACGCCATGTGCTGGAAAACTGTTATAAAAATGCAAATATACAACGACTATGATGAGCACCTTGGAGGAGATGCCCTTGTGCCATGCACAGACCACACAACTGTTCAAGCAAGACTGTAAAGGCCCTTGGTTGACACGGTTCTTGTGTTTATTTTTCTTAACCTCAGGCTGAGCCTCAGCCTTGACCACAGGCTGAGTTCCAGCCTGACTTTGACCCTGATCCTCTGCCACCAACCCACAGACAGGCTATCAATCACCCTAGTGAGAGGATGTGGATGTTCCATGTAGCCCCTCCCACTACTCAAGGACCAAGTTTGAACTCACAAGCCACAGGGACCAAGATGAGAGGATAATCCTAAACTTTTGAAAATAAAAATGGAAGTAGATCACCAATAGAAATAAAATGTCTCCAAGGTGAAAATGAATTGCATTTTAAAAAATTGATTCCAGTCAGGCATGGTGGCTCATGTCTATAATCTCAACACTTTGGGAGGCCAAAGTGGAGGATCACTTGAGCCCAGGAGTTCAAGATCAGCATAGGCAACATAGCAAGACCTCATCTCTAAAACATAAGTAAATTAGCAGTGCATGGTGGCATGCACTTGTAGTCCCAGCTACTCAGGAGGCTGAGGTGGAAGGATCACCTAAGCCCAGGTGGTTGAGGCCACAGTAGCTGTGAACATGCCACTGTACTCCAGCGTGGGTGAGGAGAGTGACATTCCGACTCAAAAAAAAAAGTCTGAAAGTGTGTTCCAAATGGACTTTTCTTGTAGAAAACACAGAGCACTTTTTTTTCAAATTCCGATTCTCCTGTGGTTTACAAACCTTTTCTTGTTCTCTAAAGAGCAACAGAGTGATGTCCAGTGGCCAACAGAGCCAGGATCCTGTGACACCACGACCCCCGGTCCCCCCATTGCTGGGCCAGCCCTTTGCCCCTCCAGGACCCTGGCACCTGAAGCAGCTCTATCACAAAGATCAGGGGCTGCGGGTCCTTCTGCAGCTCGTCCAGGTCCTCGTAGCCCAGCGTGTGGTAGGCGAACATGTTGGCCAGCCCGCATGTGTGCACATGCCACTCTGTGGGGTCCTTGCCCTCAGCCATCTGCCGCAGGCTCCGGGACAGGATGGGGTAGACCCCCGTGTGCTGTGGGAGGGAGGGACAGATGGATGGGTCTGGGCTCAGAAGCAGGTGGGCCACCAGGAGCCCCCTGCTCTGAGCCCCTCACAGCAGCGCCTGCTATCCCACTAAGCCCACAAATAATAACTGTGGTTGACTATGCGGGGCAAAGCGCTTTATACTTTTATGACAGCCCAACACATAAACCTGTGGTTTGTGTATAGGGCAAAGTGCTTTATACCTTTATGAGCTCCATATGACAGCCCCACAAGGGAGGCACTACTATTATCCCCATTTTACCAATAAGGAAGTTAGGCCCCAGAGAGGTGAAGCAACTTGCTCCAGGTCACACAGCAAGGAATTCAAACCTGACTCCAGAGGCCCTGCCCTTACCCTCCTGCTGCCTCTCCTGGCCCCTGTGGTAACCCATCTGTCCCCCAAGGAGACTCTGAGCCCACAAAGCCTGTGACTCACAGGGAGGGCAGTGAGGGGCAGTGGAAGTAGCAGGACTCTGAGTCCAGGTCACCACCACGCTCCAAATCTCACTTCCCTTGACTGCACCTGTCCCCTACTCAGGCTGTGGCAGGGATTAAATAAGACCATGCAGATATAGGTCTGAGTCATCACAGTCTCACCCGGCACTGGGAGCTGGGGCTGCCACCTGGGGATGGAGCCATATGGCCTCAGCAAGGCCTGCTGCACTCCAGGCCTCAGTTTCCCCAACTGTGGTCTCAGAGCCCATCTCCTTGGATGGGTTTCTGAAGTGGCCCAGCCCCGACCCCATGCACAGCTCCAGTAGAGACACGATGTTGGGAAGTGACGGGGCAGAAACTCTATTGAGCAGTTCAGCTCTGTCTCTGTGTCACCAGCATGGACACACAGAGGTCACCCCACCCCGCCCCGCCTGGATTAGCCCAGAATGCCCTCTGCCTCTTTGTGAGAAAAATGATGAACAGATGGCCGCTGAGCCTGTGGGGATTAAGGCTGGACCAAGGGAGGGGGAAGCCCCGGGATCAGCTTGCTGCGAGAGGGGCACTCCTGGCCCTGACACAGTAGCTCCCAGCTCAGCAGCCCGTGGCTCCCAGCAAGCCGAGTATGAGCCATGGACTCCAGCGCCAGGCAGCCGTTTGGGCATACCCTCAGACAAAGGCCTGATTCCGGCAGCCACCTGTCACCTTGGCACAACCAGGGCCCCAGGGCAGCATGGTAGGCAGTGAGAAGCCACCAGGGAGAAAGATAAAAACTGGGGATGGAGCAGAGACTCACCACCTCCAGGGAAGAGGAAACTGTCAATCTCAGCTCTGTGTCTGTCCTCAGGGCACGGCTTTGCAGGGCAGCAGGCTGACAGGGCAGCAGGCTGACAGGGCAGCCACGGTAGCCACGGGTCTCTATGGAGTCCAACTCTAGCCCTAGGGACTTACTTGGCCAACTGGGGCTACCACTGGGGCAGGAGGAGCCTGGAGTTACTGCCCTCTCTGGGACTTCAAGGTCAGAGCCTGGTTCTGCCTAAGGGACAGTGTCTACACTGGAGGTTGCAAACCAGAGTGTTAGAAGCCATATCTCCTTTGGAGACTGGCTTTGGTCTACCCTTCGCAGACTAGGTTTTCTTGTTTGTTTGTTTTTAATTGTTGCCAGCATTTCAACACGAGGAGAGTTAGCAAGCTAATGCAGAATTCTGGCTTGTCCCAAAAGCTCAGAAGACCAACCGCACCAGGCCCTGGCCCCTTCACATGGCAAGTGTCCCGTTGACACTGCTCCCTCTGGATGGCGCCAGTGATCTCCAGCCAACCAGGGTGCCTGGCCCTTTGTGGAATTTGTGACCCCAATCAGCAAACAACCCCACTTGAAGACCAATCTCTTCCCTGAGGGGACAGGGAGAAATGCATTTCAGGACAGAGATGCAGAGCCTGACTGGTGGTGGTGGCTCCAGCCTGTAATCCCAGTGCTTTGGGAGGCTGAGATGTGGGGGTGGGGGATTGCTTTCAGCCAGGAGTTCAAGATCAACCTGAGCAACAAAGTAAATCTTATCTCTGCAAAGTGGTCTTATCTCTACAAAAAGTACACAAAAAAATTTAGCCAGGTATGATGGTGTGTACCTGCAGTCCCAGATACTTAGGAGACTGAGGTAGAGGATTGCTTAAGCTTAGGAGATAGAAGCTGCAGTGAGCTATGATCACATCACTGCTCTCCAGCCTGGGTGATAGAGTGAGATTCCGTCACAAAAAAAATAAGAAGCATCTCTCAGAAGCCCTGACTGTTCCTGTTCCTCTGGTTTAGGGGAAGAAGAAAGAAGAAGGTAGCCCCTTGCCCTGCAGAGACCCAAACTCCAAGGTGATCCCGTAAGGACCTTTCAGTATCTGTAAGGAAAGCAACTGCTGAGGAAAGTCAGGCCATCCTGAGTCCTTTGTCAGATAGAGAAGATTGTTAGTCTTTCCAGAACTTGGGTTCTTGGATAGAGAGATGCCCCAAAGAGGAGAAGGAGCTAACTAAATGCAACATGCCAAGGCTTCTCATGTGTCCTGGCTACAATGCTACCCTTCTCCCCACTTCTAGGTGGATGAACTTATACTCACCCCTCAAGACCCAGCTCAGTATTAGCTTCTTGAAGAAGTCCTCCCTAAGACCCTAAAGCAGTCAACTGCCCCTCTTTATGAACCCAGAACACTCTGCCCTCCCTTACTTATGCCGTGGCACCAGCTTCCCCACATTATAACTGTTTAGATGTCTCCTCTTCCTCCAGAATTCAAGTTCCTTGAGGGCTGGGGACTTGGCCTGTTTCATTCCTAACACCCAGCATGGGCCAAATCAGGTGCCCAGTGAATGTTTCTTATTAGATAGAAAGATAGATAGATGATAGATAGATAGATAGATAGATAATAGACAGATGACAAGCAAGACAGATGGGAGATGATAGATGGATGCATAGTGATAGAGGACTGGATTATGCATGAACATGGGTTGAAGGAAAGGATGGATGAGCTGGTGCCCAGACAGGTGGATGGATGGATGGATAAGGGGTGGATGTGTAGGTGCATGAATTACTCTGGAAGTGTGTGTGTACGTGTGTGTGTGTGCGCATGTACACGTGTGCAAATCATGGCAGTCATGGGTTGAAAGGAGATGTGAGGAGAGGATATTGGGAAAATCCATAGTACTATGGTCTAAAAGTTACCAGCCTCTAAGATGGGCAGTGCACTCATGTGACTGTTGATGTAGCCAAAAGAACACAGATGTCACAGGAAACTGAGAGCCATGCCCACACTACAGGAGTAACAGCAGCTTGTGGTTTTGCAAACAACAAACCAATCAGTTAATGTAGAATGTATTGACAGCCTCCTATGTGCTCAGCTCTCCTGTGTTACAAATATGCATCCTGCGGATAGGGGGCTTTTATCGGCAGCCAAGACTTGCCTAACATATGACCCAAATTAAAGATATATATGAGTCTACAAGGACAGGAGTGCCTCATTGTAAGCACAGGCAGTAGACATCATTTTAAACTAAATGAGGCCGGACATGGGGGCTCATGCTTGCAATCCTAGCACTTGGGAAGGCCAAGGCAGGAGGATTGCTTGAACTCAGAAGTTTGAGACCAGTCTAAGCAACACAGTGAGACCTAGTCTCTACAAAAAATATAAAAATTAGCTGGGCATGGTGGTGAATGTCTGTAGTCCCAGCTACTTGGGAAGCTGAGGTGGGAGGCTGAGCCCAGGAAGTTGAAGCTGTAGTGAGCCATGATCATGCCACTACACTCCAGCCTGAGCAACAGAGTGAAGCCCCAACTCAAAAAATAAAATAAAAAATAATAATAAACTAAATGAAATCACAAAGAAGCCAACTTCCTGAAAGTTTGGCTTGATAAAAAATAAAACATTTTAAAAGTTAAAAAGATCAGGATAAAGAATAGCACGGGGACTGGCACAAAGAAAAGATACTCAACTAATATTTGCTAGGTGAATAAATGAATAATGTGTTGGATGGAACCACTTACTGGTGGAGGATGGTATTGCAACCCAACTCTATCAGACATTGTGAGAAACACAGGATAAAGAGTGAGGGGACCAAGTGTCCCACCCAGAACCTTTTCCTTAATTTGTCTGACCCAGATCAAGTCACTATTCCTTTCTGAGTTTTACACTTTTTTCATTAGTAAAATGAGAGAGTTCATCTCAAAATTTATCTAGCTCAAAATAATTGCTCTCATTTTTCAATTGCCCTGTACTCTGATTTACCCTCATATACATTAGATCATGGAATCTCCAAAGCAGCCCTTAACTTAGGGGTTTGTTTATTTCTAGATGAGGGAATAGAGTGGCAGAAAGAGGGAGGGATTTCCCCAGGTCACACAACTAATAAAAGACAGAACAGAGTTCAAACTGTTCCCAGATTGGCCCCTGACGAAATAATGAGACTGGATATCTGCCTTCAATGGTGAAAGTCTAGAGGGAGCTTTGCAATGAAGGGATCAGGCTGTAGTGAAGGGATCAGGCTGTCAACAGTTGAATTCACCAATAAATCTTCACATCACAGTAAGAGGGGCAAGCAGGCATGGTATGCCTCCCAACATGGTGAAGTCCATGACAGACTTTTGCAGAGAAATAGAAGAACCTGAATCTTATTATCAACCCTCCAATTTATCAAAAATATGGGGAATAGAGGAGCATGTTAGACAATTGCGTGGCAAAATAACCAGTAAAATCAGAATGTGGGACTCCTACAGGCTGATTAACCTAGTTCCTCCAACAAATCCATGTCAAGGATAGGAAAAAAAAGAGGAAGGAGAAGCCATAGATAAAAAGAGAATTGAGAGACATATCAACAAAGCACTACATGAGGACTTTATTTGGATCATGATTTGAACAAACCAAACTTCTTCTTCTTCCTCTTCTTTTTTTTAAGACAGAGTTTTACTCTGTTGCCCAGGCAAGAGTGCAGTGGCACAATCATGGCTCACCACAGCCTTGAACTCCTGGGCTCAAGCAATCCTCCTGCCTCGACCTTTTGAGTAGCTGGGACTACCGGAGCACACAACCACACCTGACTAATTTTTCTATTTTTCTGTAGAGACTCGAGGTCTCACTTTGTTGCCCAGGCTGGTCTTAAACTCCTGGCCTCAAGTGATCCTCCTGTCTCAGCCTCCGAAAGTACTGGGATTACAGGCATGAGACACCATGCTCAGCCCTCATTTATTTACAAAGAATAAATGAAGGCTGGGCATGGTGGTACATGTCTGTAGTCCCAGCTACCCAGAAGGCTGAGACAGGAGGATCGCTTGAGCCCAGGAGTTCAAGGCTACCTGCTCTGTGATTGTGCCACTGCACCCAGCCTGGGTAACAGAACCAGACCCTGTCTCAAAATAAATAAATAGATAAGGTGACAATTAGAGAAATTTTTGGTGACTGGATATTAGATAATCTCAGGGAATGATTGTGATTTTCTAAGGATTTCATAATGATATGTGATTATGTGTTTTAGATAGCCTCATGTTTTAGAGATATACATTTGTGTATTTACAGATGAACTGAGGTGCTGTCTGGAATCTGCCATACCCATGGTGGGGGGGAAGAGGGTGGAAAGTG